TTCGTGAATGCCACATTCGTGGAAGAGGGAAGAAGGATTCCTAAACCCCGACTCTCCCAGTACACCAAGATGAAAATCAAGCAAACCTTGGGATGAGGTGCCAAGATCGAAAGAGGGTTTAGAAAATTGCTACAAGAAAAGATCAACCCAATCCTTCCTGTTTTGAAGTTAGGTCAGTTTGGGCTCGGTTTTCAGCCCAGTTACCACAAAAAGAGGAAGGAAGTCCAGAAGAACCAAGAAAGAAGACTAGCCAGGTTAACTGGAGGTGAACTTCAACGGGAACCTATGGCATTCCCGCCTCTTTACCGCACATTCAAGTCGGGTGACTATGTGTTCGAGACCACCTCATCCTATTCAGAAACGGCTCTGGAAGATCTGAACATTAATGCCGTGACCACAGAAGATGTTGACAACGAAGATAGATCTGGGATATGCCCCCTGCCATCTGGGTTCGTGCCTAGCAGTTGGTCGGTGGAAGAACTACATGTGTTTTACAAGAACCTTTCAGAGTAATATTCGAACTATCCCTATTTGCCTATACCTGGGGCAATAGGTGATCTTTTGTAAGGGTGAATAAACATTTGGCTAAATTTAATAAAAGATGCATTTTTTTATTATGTCCATGGCAAACAAATTTTCTTTCACTTCTTTCTGAATTCATTGTCTATTTTCTTCATTTCAGCACTTCATTTCCATTTTTCTTTCGAATTTGATTCTTGACTGTTTCGTGTGGGATATTTCCTCTCTCACACACATATTTTCTTTGTTCCTTCAGGACCCCAGATAACGATAATGTGGGCATTGATGATTTTGATCCGAAAGTAGATTTTGAATCAGCCATTTATCTCGGGGAATTTAATGAGTGCGACACTGAAGAGGAGTGCAACTTGCCTACCGAATTGTTGATAATAGTAGCAAGAGAAGAGAAGCAAATGCTACCACATGAGGAGGTGATCGAAATCTTGAATCTGGGAACTGAAGATGACAGAAAGGAGGTTAAAATCGGCACAACTCTCTCGGCTGAAGCAAGACAAAACCTTATAGTCTTACTTCAGAAGTATAAAGATGTGTTCGCCTGGTCATATCAAGACATGCCGGGACTAGACACAGATATGGTAGTTCATAAACTGCCAATTAAACCATAATGCAAACCCGTGCAACAGAAACTGAGAAGGATGTGACCTGAGATGCTCCTTAAAATTAAAGAAGAAGTCAAGAAGCAATTCGATGCTGGTTTCCTTCAAGTGGCCAAGTATCCAGAGTGGGTGGCCAACATAGTGCCAGTTTCGAAGAAAGACGGGAAAGTTCGTATGTGCGTCGATTACCGGGACCTTAACAAGGCGAGCCCTAAAGATAAAATTTCTCTACCTCACATTGACACGTTGGTAGACAATACAGCCGGGAACGCTTTCTTTTCATTCATGGATGGATTCTCGGGATATAACCAGATCAAGATGCATCTTGAAGACATGGAGAAAACCACGTTCGTCACAATGTGGGGAACCTTCTGCTACAAGGTGATGCCATTCGGACTGAAGAATATTGGGCAACATATCAGAGAGCTATGGTGACCCTGTTCCATGACATGATGCACAAAGAAATTGAAGTTTATGTCGATGACATGATTGCCAAGGCGCAAACCGAGAATGAACATGTCAAGAATTTGAGGAAGCTCTTCCAGAGATTGAGAAAGTTCCAACTAAGATTGAACCCTAGTAAGTGCACATTCGGGGTAACATCTTGGAAACTATTAGGCTTCGTGGTCAGCAGAAAAGGCATCGAAGTTGATCCCGATAAAGTTAAAGCTATCCAAAATCTGCCTCCCCCACGAACACAGAAAGAGGTTTGAGGTTTTCTAGGTAGATTGAATTACATAGCACGGTTCATATCCCAGTTAACCGACAAGTGTGATCCAATCTTCCGTCTTCTCCGAAATAACAACGCTGGAGCGTGAGATGAAAAATGTCAGATTGCATTCGAGAAAGTAAAAGAGTATTTGTCTCACACTCCTGTCCTGATGTCACCTATCCTGGGCAAACCTCTGTTCTTGTATCTCTCCATATTCGAGAACTCAATGGGGTGTGTTTTAGGTCAACATGATGAATCCGGGAAGAAGGAAAGAGCCATTTACTATTTAAGCAAGAAGTTTACCGATTGCGAGGTCAGATATTCTCCTATCGAGAAGGTTTGATGTGCTTTAGTCTGGGCTACAAAAAGACTCCGAAAATACATGTTGTATCATACCACTTGGCTGATTTCCAAGTTAGATCCCCTTAAGTACATGATAGGTGTACATGCTCTATCTGGAAGGTTAGCCCGATGGCAGATGTTCTTGTCTGAATTTGACATCGAGTACGTGAGCCAGAAAGAAGTCAAAGGGAGTGCCATATCGAAGTTCTTGGCAAGTTGAACCGATGAGAGTTACGAGCCTTTGGACTTTGACTTCATAGACGAAGAATTGATGGCTATATCCTTAGAAGAAGCAAGTACTTCAACGAACAGTTCCTGGAGAATGCATTTCGATGGTGCATCAAATTCATTAGGACATGGCGTCGGGGCAATCCTGATCTCTCCAGAAGGAAATCACTACCCATTTACCAGTAGACTGAGCTTCGATTGCACCAATAACATGGAAGAGTATGAAGCCTGTGTCTTGGGAATCCGAGCAGCACTGGGGCAAAACATAAAGACCTTGCGGATATACGGAGATTCAACGTTAGTAATCTATCAGCTTCGCGGAGAATGAGAAACCAAGGATACAAAGCTGATGGAATATCGGAAGATAATACTGGATCTGCTTGAAGAATTTGATGAAGTCACCTTCCACTACGTGCCTAGAGAAGAAAATCAAATGGTTGACGCTTTAGCTACCTTGGCAGCCACATTCAAGGCTGGCGGGGAGTCTGAAATGATGTCAATTAACATGCAGTCGTATGAGTACCCGGCTCATTGTTACCAAATTGAAGAATTGAAAGACACCGAACCTTGGTACTACGATATTCTGCAGTATATTAAGCATCGAAATTATCCAGAAGAAGCCACCGAAACCGATAAGAGAACCCTTAGAAGGATGACAGTTGGATACGTCCTTGACGGAGAGGTCTTATACAAGAAGAGCCATAATCAAGTCCTGTTAAGATGCGTCGATGCTAAAGAGGCAAAAATGATAGTGGAAGAAGTACATGATGGAGTTTGTGGAGCACATGCAAATGGACATATGATGTCAAGACAAATAATAAGATGCGGATACTTTTGGTCCACACTCGAAAGTGATTGCATCAACTATGCCAGAAGATGTCATAAATGTCAAATTTACGGAGATAAAATTAATGTTCCACCTCATCCACTTCATGTAATGACGTCGCCCTGGCCTTTCTCAGTATGTACATATTTAGTTATATTTTTTATTTTGTATATATATATTTTAGTTTTTCAATTTATTACCATTATATCATATACTTATTTCCTTTTTTTTCTCTTTCTGTATTATTACTCATTTTGTGTTTATTGTCTATCTATGTTTTATTATTATTATTATAAGTATATATTTTATATATTTTATTTCATTTTATTCTGTGATCTTTTTATTGTATTGATTTATTGATTTTTATCATTCTTTATCTCATTTTCTTTATCTTCACTTTTTCATTTCTAACACTTTTCTTGATGCTTTAAGGGTACGTTTTCAAAAACGGTTAAAGGTAAGTAATTCAGATCGTCATTTTACCTTTTCATTTAAGATTATAATTTTCTTAACTAAAGACAACTGGAAATTATATAGTAACGAAAGGGCAATTCAGGGGTGCTAACCATTCCTTGACTGTAATCGACTCCCGAATCCGACACATCTTTGGAAAGACGCGGACCAGGTAAGAAATAAGGTATCCGATCAACCCATTTTTTATAAAATAAATGATCGGTGGCGACTCCTAACCCATTTTCCTAAGTCGAAGCCCAATTCCGGGGCTCAACTGAAAGACGGTTCCGATAGTGATCATCTCCGGTATGAGAGTATTCGAAAATATAATTTTATAATTTATAAAAACAACTATCAACTGATCAAAAACGAGTGAAATTTGGGGCATTAATCAAACCAAAAGACATGGTCATGAACTCATAATGATCATAGCAGGTTTTGAATGTAATCTTTAGAACATATTTCACCTTAAACCGATAACATCTTGATCTTAAATCTATCTTTGAGGACAATGTCGTACCTAATTAGTAAAAGAAATCATCAATTCGCAATAAAAGATATTGTTTTTATTCAATTGACAATAATCAATACACAATTCTAAAAGTTTAGAATACTAAAAAGAACCAAAATTGATAGTTTAAGTATTAAACACATAATTTATTCAAATATAAAAGGAAATAGAGAATTCTAAACGAGTTTATTCATAGACAAACAAACCCAATACAAGTCTATTCATGTTCATTTATTCATGAAATGAACATAATTTTTTTATTCATAATCGTTTATTAATTATATGAACAATTCACCGAATGCTTTGTTCATTTACACCTTAATTACTTTGCTAGTAGCCCAATAGGGGGTTAAAAAAACATAATAGAAGAACAATTATAATTAGGGATGGGCATGGTCGAGTTTTGACCAACCCGATCCGACCCGAAATTTTTTACATCTTTCACCTAACTTGATCAGAAAAATATATAACCTCCACCCTCCCTGAACCCGACCCAATTTTTTGAGATAAAATCCGAACCTAATCCGACTCGACCCGAAATAATAATAAAATATTATTTTTATTCAATAAAAACAATAATTTAATTGAAAAAAATAATAAATAGAGATATTATTATAATTATTCTCAAGTATATAAGATAAAATTATATATTCTTTCAGGGTCGGATTTTTTTCACCTAAACCCGAATCTGACCCGACCTAAACTTTTTTTTAAAAACACCCAACCCGATCGGGACGGGTCGGAACCTATCGGGTTCGAGTCCCATGCCCATCCCTAATTATAATAAACTCCTTGGAGAAATATGCATATCCTTTTTATAACATCTAATAGACCAATACATCAACTTAATGTTTTTACTTCTAGCACCCAAAACTTCACTGAAAAACAGAGTAAGGATCGGAGAAAACAATAAAAACAAGGATGATAAACGAGGTTCTTCATAACAAACATATCAAACAGGTGATTAGAGGAAAAGCTGAACCGATCTTCACTCTTCTTCCTCACCCTCGTTCTCAGCAATATTGAAGTACCGTAGTTCGTAGACATTACGATCCTTGTTAGAAGCAATCACTCGAAGCCAATCACGGACATTGTGCTTCTTCAAGTACTTCTTTGTCAAGTACTTAAGATACCTAAAGTTGAAGAAACCGTCAGCTAAAATGCATGAATATTCAATATCAAGACAAAAACAACAAAAGAAGGCAAAAACTAGAATGAATTTTAAGGTCTCAGACATCCAAGGAAGGATTAAAGCAGCATAAGCTCTCAAGCCTGGCGAAGGCGAAAGCTCTCAGGCGGCCACTGCGAATGTTTTGAGAAACAAGCCTTAAGAATTGTCATCACTGACCTTAAAATTAGAAGTTGCAAATGTTCTACCATAACATGAAGCAGATAAACCTAACAAAATTCAATTCAGGATATATGGCAAACAAAAAAAAATACTATTTCTCAAAATATTCAGTTCAATTGGGCTTAATGTTCAAGACAATGCAACCTTAAACAAAAGACAAATGAATGAACAGTACCGCTTGGAGAAGTTGGAGTCGGAGGAAACAGTGATTTTGCTCTTCTCGCGGGTGACAGTGACGGAGTCGCCAAGAGCACCTGCTTTGCCGCCGACCTTGATCCTTTCCTGGAGGAACTTTTCCAGTGAGGAGATATCCATGATCTTATCTTCGACCGGCTTAGAGCAGTCGATGGTGAAGGACGCTCCTTTCTTCTTCCCCTTGGGTCCCGCTGCTGCTCCTCGACTCATCTTCGCACCAACTCACTGCGTTTTCACTGAGTCAATTCAACAAGAAGAGAAATGAAGGGAAGCAATGCGGAAAGCAGATATAGATAACAGTACCTAAGCTGCCTCTGTGTTCTCGACTATTACAAATACCTTGGATGAGCAGTCTTTACAAATATATTGATTCCTAGGGTTTTCTGAGATATTCTTAGGAGTGGATTTTGGGCTTTGACTGTGTGGGTTTTGGGGGAAAACAGAAAAAACAATTGAGATGGATTATCATCATTATTCAACCTATACAAAGAACTCATCTGGAACTGGATTTAAAAGTCTTGTGACCCAACATCAAATCCAAGCTCCGAGTCCAAAATTTTAGCAGGAAAAAGGGGGGGGACCCTTCAATGTTTGTCACTTTTTTAATTATATCCTTAAAGTTTTTTTATTTGGAAATCTAAATCTAAAAGTTTTTATTTTTTTCAAATAAACCCTTTTTGTATGGACAACCCATGATCAATTCAAAATCAACATTTTTTTCTAAACAATATTAAGGTACAATTGAAAACAAGCAAACATTGATGGTTTTTTGTAAATATGAGTGTTTAATCAAGTTGAATCGAGTCCATTATTTTTGATTCATTTGTCATATTTTATAACTAAAACTTTATTTGAATTTTTTAGTCGAATCGAGTTTATAAAATGTGAATTGAGTCGAGTTGTTCGAGTTTCTATTTAAATTTAATTGTAAATATTTATAATATTATGATACGCTATTTAATTCCAGTTTAAACGGTTTTCTATAACCATATACAATAAATATATATTTTTCAAATGTGATATACATATATCATACAAGATTGAAGAACTCGACTCAAACTTGAAAACCAATCCTATAATTACTAAAAAAAATCGAGATATTCGAGTTCTATTTTATAATTTGATTCGAATTTGGAATTTTTTTAAGTTAAGTCGAGTTTATAATATAACAAGTCAAGTTTTTTCGAGTGGAGGGTTTTTTTCACCCTTAATTTTTGGCACCAATCATACTTTTCTACTTGGCATTTGGCAACAATTATATATAGTCACGACCTTTGTGCAGATTTTAAATATAATTAAGCAGCTTGAATTAAAAAGGAAAATGGGATCAAATGTTAAAAGTTAAAACCTTTTAAGATCAGGAAAGCTCACTTTATTAAAGGGAGAAGCAACATGAAACTACAAAGATAGCAGAGACAAACAAATGTAAAAAAAATAACTCCATCTCAATTCCTGCTGTTTCCTCATAACTATAATATCAATATTTTCAATGGGGAAAAGGAGCAATTTCTTTCCCATTAATTATATTTTGCCGATCAGTGTTTCTGTGAGAGAATATATCTGCCATCTTAAGCCGAGGAGGCATTGTTGGTGGTGCTGCCCTCCTTGTGATCACCAAAGATACGTTGCCGGAAGTCCGAAACCATTAGAGGGAGACCCTTTCGGAGCGATACCTTAGGTTCCCAACCAAGCAACTCTTTGGCTCTTTCGATATCAGGCTTCCTCTTGTGCGGGTCATCTTCTGTGTTTTGTCTGAACTCAATCTTTGCATTCGGGTCAATTGTTTCTTGTACAACCTGTAACGTAAATACGCATTGAGAATCCAAGTTTCCATATAATGTACTAGTAAATATTAAATTTCAGTTCATAAACAAGATAAGAAGTTTAGGCAAGAGGAAGAAATTATGCTCACCTCAGCAAGCTCAAGCATGGTGAATTCACCTGGATTTCCAAGATTAAAAGGTCCGACGTGTTCTCCTTCCATCAGACGCATGAGACCCTCCACCTGTTTCAACCCAGATTCTTAGTTTTATCCAGGTAATGCCCAACTCTATCGGTTCAGATCTAGCATATATCCAAGAGAGGATGGGACTGTGTTGACATCAGACAAACATAGAACAACATATACCCCACAAATCCAGCTACAGAACACCATAATAATACATGGAGGAAAAGCCTACCCCAAATAAGATTACGTAGTACAACCAAGCAGCAAGTTCCAACTTCTAAGCTGCTGGTCAATCATATAAAATAATGCAGCAAAGAAAAAAAATCTCAAGATAGGATTTGTTCAATACTGGTCCGGAAGAGCTGTAAGTTCCATTGACAATGTATGCCACGTACAAAACTATAGGGAAATTAAATTCGCCGGTCCACGCGGGTCATTCATTTGGTACTAGTCACATGGTGTATGTTTCCTCAAATAGTTTCTACACTCCCTAAATGAAAATTTCAGAATTAGTAAATTGCAAAACTATTTGAACATTTCCCCTTTTTACCATGTAATGCCAAGATGTACTTTTGAAATCAAGTGCGGTGCCTAGTTTTCCACTTTTGAAATAAGTGTCATCATGAATTCCTACTGGAACCATACTATAATATCATTTACCAGATCAGATACATATTGGAAACTCCTCGTCTGCTTCCCATCACCATACACTGTCAATGGCTCCTTCCTTAAAGCCTGTAAACGTTATTTAATTACTCGAATAAGCAACACGATCGAACCATTTTATTTTGAGAAAATGGCTAAAGGGAATAGAAAGAGTACCTGAGCAACAAAGTTGCTAACAACACGACCGTCATCAATGCACATACGGGGTCCATAAGTATTGAAAATCCGGGCAATCCTGACCTCAACTCCGACTCCTCTGTGATAGTCCATTGTCAACGTTTCGGCAGTACGCTTTCCCTCATCGTAACAGCTCCGGACACCTGTCATTGAATATTGAAACCAATTTATTTGGTTGGTTCCAGAAAGGAAGAATAAAAATGTAAATAATTCAAAAGCTTTTCCATAATTTAAGCAGAAACGAACGCCTAAACAACAACAAACACAACCAAAATGACACTAAACACCAAATTTACAGTCACAAGCACAGCACCACCCGCATATTGTCAGTTTTCAATTCTCACAGATCCAGCAGAAAAAAAAAAGGAAAAAATATTTCTTTTCCCCCCTTCTTTTAGTTTACAATGCTTTGCAAAGTGAGAATAGATATGCAAAACGTGTCATTGTGTTGTAGGATAAAGAGAAAGGCCACTGATCACGGGTTTCGAGTGAAATGCTCGACAAGATCTAAAAATTTCTAAATCGCCGATGCCAGCAATACTCCTACAACTTCAAAACCAAGACAACGCGTACATCCATGACCGCAGATTTTAAGGAAATAAAAAATTCCCGAAAACTAACCGATGGGATTAACGTTGCCCCAGTAAGTTTCCTTCTGAGGATGTTGCAGAGGATCTCCGTAGACTTCACTGGTACTAGTTAAAAGGAACCTGGCACCAACTCTTTTTGCCAGCCCCAACATGTTCAGTGTTCCAACCACATTTGTCTTGTAAATACGACATTTAAATTAAGGGGGGAAACAAATATAAAGGTTGAACAAATAATTTAAAAACATGTAGGAATTTATAGAGAGTAAATGATTAAAAAAGGATATGATCGTTTTGACGGGATTGAATTTGTAATGAACTGGAGAAGCAGGGCAAGCGAGATGGTAGATTTGATCAACTTCCAAGAGTAGAGGTTCAACGACGTCGTGTCGGATGAGCTCGAAGTTGGGGTTCCCGAAATGGTGCATGACGTTCTCTTTCCTCCCGGTGAAGAAATTATCAACCACCATCACGCTGTCTCCTCTCGCTATCAAACGGTCCACGAGGTGTGACCCCACGAACCCGGCTCCACCCGTTACGACAATTCTCAGACCCTTCCGTTTCAGCCCCAACGGAATCTTACCGGTTGGATTGCCCGACCCGAACCCGAGACGGTGTTGGTAAGAGAGCTTGTTCTGGGTCTCGATGGGGAAGTAGGTCATGGAATCGAGGATCGGGCTGGTAGAGTGGGGAGCGAGCGGAGCACGTGAGGTTGGGGAGATGGTGAAGATCAGAGTGGCTATGGCAATGCCGACGAGCACGAAGAGGAGGCGCTGCTCAAGGAGCATGTAACGGGCGGCACGTGTGACGGAGGCCCATGGTTTGTCCGGTTTAGGTGAGTATGAATCCGAAGCAGGCTGGGTCTCGTGGCCTCGGTATATCAGCTCCGACGCCATCGCTCTTTGACTTGCAAAACAAAAACTAAAAATCGAATTATAAGATCAAAATGAATATATTTAAAAGAATTCTTGAAAGTAAATCGCCGGGAGCATAAGTCCCCGACGAGTTTGAAGCTGAGAGGTGATGGGGTGGAACCAGAATGAAGGAAGGGGGATTTGATGTAAGAAAAAAGAAGAAGAGGAGATTAAATATTTATATAAAGGGCTCCGGGGAAGGAATGATATTACGGAAATACCCTTTCGGTGGCTCCTCCTTCTAATTGAGGAAAAGCTTTTTAATTTTCCCCTTTTCACTCCTTACAAGTTACCTTTTTTTTCCTGCTATTTATTATTGTGATTTTAATTAGTAAAAATATTTATTACATTTATAAAATGTATTAAAAATTCACATTTGAGTCATACATTAAAAAGATTAATATTATGATTAATTTAATAAAATGATACATTTAACATTTTAAATCATAAATTTTATTTTTAATAGTATAAATAAAATACATTGAATAAAAAAAATTATAATATCATATTTAAATGTAAGGGTGCATTTGTAACATTGACAAACATTGAGGGCTTCTTTTATCATAATATCAAAATAAAAACACACGGACTAATAATTTTTTCAAGGATCCCATCGGATTGCAGCATCGCTTTTTTTTTTTTTTTACCATTTCTGTAACTAATTATTATGGTGTCACGTGGGTTTAGCTAAAAATACTACGAATCACGTGACCTTATGGTTGACTTGGAAGCCTTTCAATGGTTGAATCACACGTTTTTGTTTAATATTTCTTTGAATTTCAATCACAAGAAAAAACTTTATCTCTAAGTAACTCTTTATCATTTAACTAAACTATTCGTCGTAACCAAGTCGTTAACGGTAAAATGCACATGGCGCATCTTCTATTTATACTAGTACGTACGATACGAACTCAGAAATTAAGATTCGGGTAAACTACCAAACTGGTCATTTATGTTTATTTTGTTCACTTTTGATCATTAACTTTATAAAAGTAATATTTTGGTCATTTATATTATAGATTTATAATGTTTTGATCTTTAAGATGGTAAATAACGTTAGTGATGATGTAGCGTGTCAGTGAAAGAGGTTAATTTTTAATTTGAGCCATG